TTAAAATTTCTTTTGTTTTTTTTTTTTGACATCTGGAAGAAGTTTTATGGGAGTTAAAATTCTTGAGTCACAGAGGTTAGAAGTGGGAAGACCTGCCTGGCACAAATGTCCAGGACATATTATACAAAGTCTTGTGGGCAGGGTACATTCACATTTGTGCTACTACTGGGTATGTAGATGAGCTAAGAGAAAGAAGAAGTCATCTTGGGCAAGTCATTTTCCCTCTTTGTAAAAAGAGGGGATTTAATGCAATATTTTGTAAGGTCATTTGGTGATCCTTTCTGTGCAAGTTCAATATTGATTACTCTGTGTCTCTGCCAAAGGAGAAAGTTACAGTGATTCAGTGAGTGGGCGTCGGATAGGTGCATCACTGACTCTTGATAAAGGCATAATTCCATAAGGAATCCAGATGTCTAGTCTCTTCTCTGATGAGTCATAGATCTTCTTGTAACTTATAAATTTTGCACTGAAATGTTTATGATGCTTGGAATGAATAAATCATATTGAATCCTTGCCGGGGAAAGAACATTTGGCTAAAAGCTATCTGGGCACCTGGTAGCTATAAAGCTTCAAGCCCCAATTTAATTTGTATTTTGTAAATGTTTCTCTGTTGCTTTTACAATAGATCTACATGAAATTTATCCTTGGCAGACAAAGTTTAAGTCTCTTCTTTTCCTCCTATTTGCATTCTTCCTCTGTGTCCTACTGCCTTTTTTGCCTTCCTCTGTTCTTCTTGGTCCCCTGTTCTTTCCCTTTCCTCCCTCCCTCCCTCCTTCCCTCCCTTCCTTCTTCCTTCCTTCCTCCTTACTTCCTTCCTTCCTTCCTTTCTTTCATTCTTTCTTTCTTTCTTTCTTTTTCTTTCTTTCTTCTTTGTTTCTTTCTTCCTTCCTTCCTTCCTGTCTGTCTGTCTGTCTGTCTGTCTGTCTGTCTGTCTTTCTTTCTTTCTTTCTTTCTTTCTTTCTTTCTTTCTTTCTTTCTTTCTTTCTTTCTTTCTTTCTTTCTTTCTTTCTT